AGAAGTAAATACAATACGCTGAAAGAGACTATACTGGCTGCGGGTCGCCTCGAGAAATGCAGCTCACCTAGTCTTCGTATCATCCATGCTGCTACGCCCAGTAGGCCGCTAGTGATACTTGTACCTGTGCAACAAAATGCACAGCAAGTGTAGCATGAGCACGAAAACAACGTGTACTTAGTAAGTATCCCGCCTAATCTCGAAGAAGTAGAGACGAGAGGTCGACTTTGACACTTAGTAGTGGTCCAATAATGATAAATTGATAATGTAACAAATTGAGGATTTATAAGCATGATTGTAATTCAATAAAATGAAGGAAGCAAGCAATTCTTTCTTTTATAGGAAATTCCCAATTCCCTTTTCATCATTTATACATTTATTCTCAAACCGGGAAGAAACAATATCACTTCAATGAATTTCAAGGCAAGCAATACAAGCATGCACAAATCATGCCGAGGACGTACGGCCCGATCCAACAATATTTAAACTGTGCACTGCCAGAGGGTCGAATGGCGCGAACCATAGATGCATCTATTACCCCGCTCGCGAATCATACGTGCAACGCGGTCAATATAAATAATAGAGTTACCACGCTCGCGAATCATACATGCGACGCAGGTACCCATAGATACACACATTCAAACAGTCAATCCAGACTTCATTAGGAAACAATTATCCAAGAAAAGGCAATTTCTCTTTTAAAAAAAAATCAAGAAATGATGACTAGTCTTTTAGAAATTCATTTACATGCTCGATATGTTTTAAGCATTTTTAAATTGACAACAAGATTTCAAATATTGCAAGTAAAGCGTGATTTTGGATCCTAGACTACCCGGACTTAAGCATAATAGTAGCTACGCACGGACTCTCGTCACCTCGTGCGTACGTAGCCCCCACAAACAGAAGCACATTATCCAATTAATTCACCTATGGGGACAATTCCTTCTTACAAGGTTAGAAAGGAGACTCACCTCGCTCCGAAGCCTATGTCCCAATTCAAGAATGCGCTCAAACCTCCAAATTGGAGCCGAACGATCCAAAACTATTCAAATGGGGTAAGAACTAGTCAATACGTGCTCAAAAGTTCATATTCTAATTATTAAACCAATTTCCCAACCCTCAATGCAAGGTTCCTAAAATTCATCCCCGAGCCCACGTGCCCGGATTTCGGAAATTTTTGAAGAACCATAACCTAAGGATCAATAATATATAATTTCTACTTCATTCCATCACAAATTTCGTGGTTAAATCTTGTTTTTATCAAACTCTAGGTTTTTCATCTAAACCCTTGATTTTCCCTAATTTTCACAAATTAATCTACCCATAATCTATGTATTTAACTCATGTTGTGTAGAAATTACTTACCTCAAAGTGCTAGGTGAAAACCCTCTTCCAAGAGCTCCAAAAATTGCCTAAGACCAAGTGGAAAATGAAGGAAATGGGCTAAGTCTCGGGATAAAAAGCCCTGGGTTCCAGTCGCAGATGTCGCATTTACGACATCCGGCTCGCAATTGCGATGTCGCATTTGCGACAAATGCATCGCAAATGCGAAGTCTAGCCAACCCTGACCTGGTCGCGTTTGCGACAAAATCCTTCGCAAATGCGAAGGTGACAGCCTCGCAAAAGCGGTCCTTCGTTCGCAGATGCGAACCTTCCCTTAGTAGCCCAGGCTCGCAAATGCGAACTCCCTCTCGCAAATGCGATCATCGCATTTGCGACCAATTCCTCGCAAATGCGATCATACTGGAACCAGAAATTTCACTCTTTCACAAAACACTCCGAAGCTACTCCGAAACTCACCCGAGCCCTCGGGGCTCCAAACCAAACACCCGCACAAGTCTAAAAACATAACACGGACTTGCTCGAAGCCTCAAATCACATCAAATAACGCTAAAACCATGAATCGCACTCCAATTCATGCTTAATGAACTTTAAAATTTCAAACTTCTACTTCCGATGTTTAAACCTATCAATTCACGTCCGATTGACCTTAAATTTTGCACACAAGTCATATTCGACATTACGGACCTACTCCAACTTTCGAAATCGGAGTCTGACCCCGATATCAAAAAGTCAACTCTCGGTCAAACTTCCCAAAAACCTTCAAATATCTATCTTTAGCCAATTGACTCCAAAATAACCCACGGACCCCCGGATTCACTTCCGATCGCGCTCCCAACACCAGAATCACCATACGGAGCTATTCCCAGCCTTGGAATCCCAAACAGACATCGATAATACTGAAATGCACTTCAACCCATACTTATGAAATTGTTCCAAAAATGCTAACTTCCGCAATAGGTGTCAAAACATTCTCGGGTCTTCCAAAAACCGATCCGGACATATGCCCAACTCCGAAATCATCATACAAACCTGCTGGAACCTTCGAATCCCGATTCCGAGGTCTTTTGCTCAAAAATCCAATCTTAGTCAATTCTTTAACCTTAAAGCTTCCGAAATAAGAATTCTCTCTCCAAATCAACTCCGAACTTCCCGGAATTCAATTCCGACCACGCGTACAAGTCATAATACCTGAAGTGAAGCTACTCAAGGCTTCAAATCGCTGAACGATGCGCTAGAGCTCAAAACGACCGGTCGGGTCATTACAAATCTTTTTTTTATTATCCCTAGGCTGATCACACCTCCAGTGTGCAAGGAGCCTCCCTTCTCGGATGCGCGAGCTTTGTTTTCTTTTTTCGCTCTTCTCTAAGAACTCTGCGGTAAGCCATTGCCTTTTCAAATCATCCCACAAATTCTAAAGTAACCAGCCAGGCCTCTTGTTCTTCTTTCTAGCATCGGAGAAAGCATCCGCTAATCTCTTGCGAGCTTTATGATGAAAATTTGCAGCCACTTCCGCGCTATAGCGGTCTTCCCATACACAGTTGCTCTGTATTTCATAAGTTAAATATTAGATGGAAACATCGTAAGTATAAATTATTAAACTGCTTAAAAGAACATTTATACCTTAAATTGATTGAAAATTTGCTCCTTCAGCGAGAATGAGAAATCAGTCCAAGTCGCATAAGGGCCATCATAAAGCTTTCTGATGGCATTGGTGATTATTCTCGTAGTCTTATTACTCGGCTTGAACCTGCAATTTAACAATAAAAATACATTAATCTTAGTAAAAACGCTACAAAACGATAGATGCAAAAATAACAAATAACTCTTACCCATCACCCTCATGGACTATGATGATCCTGCCATATTGATCATAATGCACTTCTTCGTCATCATTGTCCGAAGCAAGTGTGTCAGAGGCATGTGTAGACGGTGTAGGGGGGTCAGAGCTACTGTCTCGCAGGTGAAGGCCTGAAATAGATGGAGTCGATGATGAAGATGGTTGCAATCCCTGTGACTACGACATAGCTGGATACGACCCAAGTGGCTGTGATACTGATGGTTGTGACTCGAGTGGCTGTGACATGGATGGATGCGATCCATGTGGCTGTTATATGTAGGGATGTGATATAGATGGCTGCGATGCAGATGGCTGCGATCCATGTGGCCGTGAGGCAGCTGGACTGTATGTCAGACGTATAGTCCTATGGCCCTATGATGGAAGACCTAGTGTCTGGATGAAGGTGTAGGGCTCGTGATACTGTGGCAACTCAGTATATCCGTATGGTGGAGGATAAGACATAGGCATCTCTGAAGAGGGTGGAAAAGAGGGAGTATTATTATATACCCTCCTCTTTCCCTTCCTAGCCTTTTCTCGACCCCGAGAACTAGTAGGGTCATTGTTACCTTGACCCTTGCCTGCCATCTGCATAATATAATACATATTTAGATTGAAACATATAAGAAACTAGCTATAAAACGAGAGTGCTTTAAAAAACCAACTTTTTAATCCCCATCGACGTATTGTTCCTCGTCCGAGAATTCTTCGTCCTCACTTGTTTGAGCTTCATCAGTTGATTCTTTGTCCTCTTTTTCTATAATTGTTACTTCATCCATATCAACTTCTTCCAATATGCGTTCAGGATATTCCAAATCATTTTCTAACTGATCGTCCATTATTTGGTGAACACCGGAGATATCGTTTTGATATGCAACATCTAACACATTCTCGACTTCCACCCTACCTACAGGCTTAGTATTTATTACAATCCACCTATTGGACTTATTCCGCCGCGATGGATAAGGAGTATAATACACTTGCCTAACATTATATGGAATTATGAAAGGATCATAGCGATCATACTCCCTCCTATGATTAACCTCAATTATGTTGTATTGGTGGTGTACTCTTGTACCTCTTGTTGGATTTGGGTCAAACCACTTGCATCTAAAGAGTATCAATTTCTTATATGGCTAACCTGTATATTCTAGTTCTATTATTTCTTTGACCACACCATAATAATTAATATCTCCAACTTGGTTGCCATCACCACCTTGAACCCACACCACGATGTTGTTGCTATTTTTATTTTTAGAGCAATCCTCTATATGGAACTTATAACCATTCACTACGTACTTAGACATTGTTGTGACCTGAAGCCCAAGTCCCCAAGATATATCTTTCAAATGATTTACACCATTATTTGGATTATTACCTACATAGTGTTAAAAAAATTTATAAGTTAGCATAACTTACAAATATTATTTACCTACTTAGTGTTAGAACATTATCAGGATAAACTTATAAACTGTTTGAACCACATAATAAATCTCGTATATATAGCATCATGGCTAAATTAACCCACGAAGTGACTGTGACACATCAAATATTTTTTTTAGTTGCATCAATATGTAATCACAATAATTTTTAAATTTTGATAACTAATAAATGAATACTTGAGAAATGGTACAACTTCGGGACAATTTAGCAACACATGAAGTGTAGCTGACTTGTACTCTATATCACTCAAACTTCTCTTTCTACAAACATTACAGTGATTACCTTGAGTCTCCACCGCGACGATCCACACAGCTACTATAGATCAACACTTGGATCTGTACAAAAATGTACAGAAGTGTAGTATGAGCACACCACAGCGGTGCCCAGTAAGTATCAATACTAACCTCGGTGGAGTAGTGACGAGGAACAGTCAAGACACCTACTGGTCAAATAAATTGAACAAGATATGATAGTAAACTATCAAGATAAAGATGACGAAGTAATATCAAAAGCATAGAGAGTCAAACTACAACAGTAGAGACAATAAAGGAAAACACGGAATAACTAAATATAACCAAGTAAATTCACACCAACATAGCTGGGACACAGACAGGTAAAAATGCGCTCAAATAAGAACAACGATGTTAACTCAATCAATCACCTTATTTCTATTACACAAGTTCCAACCATCTCAAACCTCGAAGTCTTATATCATAATCAAAACTCCCAAACCTTTAACAAACTTGGCACCATGTGCCCACATATTTCCATCTCACTTTGCACAACAAAGTTCACGTGCTACCAGTACATANTAATACAAATACTCCCAAACTACTTTAACAAACTTGGCCCCAGTACATAAAATCCTCGTGCTACCAGTACATAATGTCCGTAACCAATGCAATTAAGATTTTCAAGGAGTCTCATTTATATAACGTAAAATAAATTACAGTTTCTAAACTAATTAGGAAATCAGCAAGAAAAGATGAAGTTATTTTTAGAAATCATTTGGATGAAGAAAATACCCTTTTCAAATAAAATACAACATTGAATGAAGTATTGCCTTTAATATAGGATTTATTAAATTAAAACTTAATAGAAATTCCCTTTTAAGTAAAATTTAATCTCAAACGAGTTGAGGAAATTTAATTGAGAAACTAATTGAAATAAAATATAACAGTTATTGGAATTTGAAGTATTGGAATATATATATACATGGCGAGTTCAAATTTAAAAGTCATACGAAGCAGCGTAGTATGAATTCCTTTATTTTAAATCACTATAATACTAACAACTTAGCAGGACAGGAGAAAATGATTCAACGTAATAAATTTGCTGTGAAAATTGGTAACTTGCAGAATAAATACATAACTCAAGGGTCTTATCAGTATCCAGCTATAACCAATCCCTAAGTGAAATGTAAAACTACCGAATAACTTACACAGTCAGAGAGGAATTCATAAGCACATATATTGATGCGGCGCGCATCCCGATCCCACCAATCCTCCCTTATTCCTCCGTAATAATTACAATAAGATATATATATATATATATATGTTGGCGTGCAACCTGATACCACCAATCCTCCCTTATTCCTCTATAACAATTTCAATAAAAGTAAATAATATATATATATATGTGCGGCATGCAACCCGATCCCACCAATCCTCCCTTATTGCTCCTCAATATATCACCCTTATTTCTCTTGTTGCGGCGTGCAACCCGATCCCACCTGTCCACCCTTATTACTCCTGTTGCGGAATGCAACCTGATCCCACCAAACAATATTAATTTCTCCCTTTTTCCTCCTCAATATATCACCCTTATTCCTCCTGTTGCGGCGTGCAACCCGATCCCACCAGATAATAGCTTAAATCAACAACAACAACAAATCAACAACTCAATTACAATAATTTCTACTACCATGAGTATGAGTACACAGCAACAAGAGCATCACGTAAAAGTCAAAGGAATACAACAACCTCTACAAGGACAACGAGACAGTAAGACACATGATAACTTCACTGGCAACCACAACAATTGGACATGTAGCATGTTTGCACAAAGTCATAGAGGAACTCACAATTAAGAAGTATCAAAACAATAAGGGAGGCAATCACTTCAATTTAGGGCAAATAAGGGTCAAATAACAAGTAAGAGTTAGAGAAAAGCTAACAACATCGTATTGAGCATGTAGAGGTAAAACTAGCAAATAGGAAACCCAATTACGTTAGAAAACTTCCCAATTAATAAACATAAGGACCTAAGATCCCTAAACGCAAATTTTTCACAAATAAGACCTAGTACGCACTCGTCACCTCGCATGCACGGGCAACAATTAACATAGAGGACTCAAATCCTAAGGGGGAGACCCCCACACAAGGTTAGGCAAGATACTTACCTTAATCCAGCAAATTAAATACTCAATTTAGCTTTTTCTTTACCAATTCATCAACGCTCGGCTCAATCTAGCCACAAACGACTTAAATACTTCAAATAATGCAAGAGAAAATAATTTAAAATTAATAAAGCTATGATTCTTATACAATTTGTAAAAAGTCAACAAAAGTTAACTCCTCGGGCCCGCACCTCTGAACCCGACAAATTTACAAAAATCGAATACCCATTCAGATACGAGTTCACCCATACAAAAATTATCAAATCCCGATAACGAATCGTCCTCCAAATCTAAAATTTTCATTTTTGAATAGTTTTACAAATTTCTCCAATTTCTTCCGTTTGATTCACTAATAATTGATGAAAATAACCATGGAATCATGAAATATAATCACTTTTGGATATAGAACACTTACCCCAATCCATATGGCGAAAATCACATAAAAAATCGCTTCAATCCGAGCTCCATAATTCCAAATATATTAAAATGGCCGAAACCCTCGTTTTAAGAATTTGTCCAGGTTATAAATCGCATTTGACACATGCGATTTTGCCTCAATCCCAGAAAAAATACAGCATTACCAGCCTTAATAGATCGATCATATCTTTTTGTACAAATGTCCAAATGATGAATGGTTTAACTTTCTAGAAATTAGAATGCAAGGGTTACAACTTTGCTGTTTTGCTAATTTTCAGATTCCAAATAGATTTCGAGATATAAGCTTCCAAAGTAAACTCCTCGCATCAGAAATTTCTGGAAAAATTTCAAAACAGATTTACCAGCCTTTATTCAATCGATCATAACTTTTTGTACAAATGTCCAAATGATTAATGGTTTAGCTTTTGGGAATCAGGGATGCAAGGGCTACAACTTTCATGTTTTTCTAATTTCCATATTCTTTGTAGATTGCGAGATATACGCTTCTAAAGTTAGCTCCGTGCATGATTGCACAAGTTGCTGCCAAAAACAGTTGCAGAAATTCCAGCAGCTTCAACAAGTGCCAAACGATCCGAACCCCATCTGATACTCATCCGAGCCACTTGGGACCTTGTCCGAATATACCAATAAGTCC